TGGCGTTTGGGCTGCCATGCTGCCGCCGGCCTGCGTCAAAGCCGGAGTTGTCAAAACCGAGACGCGAAGAAGCGCCGGTCTGCGTTCCAGCAGGCTGAGCGGAACGGGGAGGTCACGGCGAGCCGGCACCACGGAGCAGCGCGCGGCATCTCCCCACCCCCAAACCAGGGAGTCCTTTTACCCGCCGAGTTTCCTCTGCTTGTTAAAATGTTTGGGTCATTAGAAAACCTGCCAAACAATCCCTGCTTATGCTAAATAGCTGCTCCCACCACGATCTGTGAAGGGCTTCAGCCTGCTCCCTTGGAAATCAATGGGGGCTTTTTTGCCGAGGATTCAATAGGCGCAAGATCAGGACCTCATTATTTTTACAGGACTACAAGCAGCGGAGAACAGCGAAACCCCCAAACAAAGCAACAACCCTCCGAACCGGGAGCCAGACTTGCCCTAAAGGATCTTTACAAGCTCTGCCAAGCATCAAAGCAAAACTAAAAATCCAATTCTTGGGAGCTCTTCAGTTCTTTGACAGGGTTTTGAAAGAGTAAGGTTAACTAGGGCTGGTCTCATCATCCAGACCCGGGAACATCTCCCACAGCTCCCCGCACCGAAAAGCCTCCATAGATGCGTATCTCACCTTCCCCTTCCAACCCCGAACATTCTGTGATTCTGTAAGAGGGGATGAGTTGTCAGTCTGGGGTGATGCATGTCACCCTGTGGCACCCAGTGAGGCCCAGAGCAGTAACAGCTCCAGGGCTTCCCATGCCCTCTCCCCTGCCCCATGCCACAACGAACCCCACCAGTAAGTCCCTCCGCAGAGCCACTGGCAGAGACACAGGGGACCAGACAGCTTCTGGGACATGGGTCCTGCAACGGGGACCACGTCTGCACCCCATCTCCACAGAGGCCAGGTGCCACCTAAATTTTGCAAGAGGAGCCTCGGAGATGCTCTCAACCTTCGCACCCATCTCGGAGCTCTACGACTGTTGAGTTCTCCGCTTCTTGCCTGCATTGCTCCTCACTCCTGGCATCAGCGAGAGCTCACCTGCACGCCACATAACCACCGCAAGGTTTGGCGCCTAAGCAACACCCAGAAAGTTCGCTGACTCCGCTACACGCAACTCGCCTCAGGTCAACTCTGAAACGCTTCAACTCCATTTTACTCCAGGGTAGTAGCTGAATCCTTCCAACCTAGCTGTAGTCTGGTCTCCAAAGCTTTACTGATCTAACTACACTAGTGAGATTCCTTCTGAACGGCACAAGGTAGTTTGGTGCAAGAAACAACTGCAAACCACTCCACTTTGGGGGGCAAAAGCATTAAATGAAGATAAGCACAACAAATATTTTCACCAGGTATCAAACAGCAGGAGCTGGGAAGCCACCCTTGTGGGTTTCTGGCATGCCATGATGCACCACGATACCTCCTTTCCCTAAAAAACCTTATCCTCAGACTAAGGGACACAGCGACAGCTTGGCCCCTTGGGTGAAAACGAAAAGAAGGGAAAAAAACAAAACCAAACCAAGCAGCTGCCATGTGGCAGCCGGACATTTGCAGGTAGTTCAAGAGCTCACAGCACGAGCCCTGGGTGCAAACATCAATGCTGGGGTCCTCGTGCCGCGGTGCTCCTTCAGCACACACCACAGCGCACGAGGCTTCGCTTGCTCGCGGAGAGTGCTCCTAGACTGCGCCCTTCCCTCACCCGAAAACTTGGAACCCTTCTCACTTCTGAGTCATTAATACTTTTAACCCCTTGCAACTTGCAGAAATGGCACAGCCGCAAATCTCACAGATGCTGAACGT